GATTTGGAGGGAGATAATGCCTAAGCAGGTTAAGAAACCCAAATCCAAAGAAGAGGTGTTGCGACAACCTCTGTTCGGGAACTAGAACATTAAAGATGTAGGCAACCAGCCACTGTCACTAGCAGGAGGCCGCTCTCCTGGATTAGACATGGGATTTGGAAGGTAAGTCACATATGGGACGAAGAAAAGAAAGACTGGATAAATGAGAATCAGTTAAAAGCGCTACTAAAGGAATGGACTAACACCCCATCTCTTGCCCTCAAATTGGAACGCGTCTGGTTCGGAATTATTAGGAAGGTAACACTGTGGGCCATCTGGAAGGAGAGATGCAACAGGACAATTGACAAGACGACTAATCCGACTGAACAAGTATGGGTGACTACGAAACAGTTCATGGAGACCGATATCCAATGTCAATGGAAGAAGGTGAGACGCGAAGCTCAACAAAATCCAGAGAAACAGCAAGAGTTGGTCGCAAACTTCAACAAAGTATGGCTTGTCCAAGGAAAGATAGTTGAGATCTAGGGTCCACAAATAAGATGGCAAGACTGGCACAATTCGTTGTTCCCCTGGAGGAGGACAACTTCCGACCAGGAAGAGCAAAAGGACTTCAGGGCAACATAAGTTCCATTGAGCCCAACTCAGATGGTGATTCTCTGGGTTTCTAGCTTGCTCATCTACCTGACAGATTTTGTTTGGAGGATCTGAGAGGTAACTCAGAGAAAGGCAAACGGACAGTCAATCCTCCATCTCAATAGAGTAATTAATGCTGGTCAAGGACCCTTCGGCCAGACGGAAGGGACCGTGGGTGTGTTCTAAAAGAACAAAAGCGAAAAAAAAAACAATTATGTCAAGTCTGTAGTCTAGCTGAATACCCAGGTACATGAGGAACCAGCTCCAATCTAGGCCTAGAAGAGCACGCAAAATACACGAGCGACAGAGGGCAGCCGATGTTTCAATGGGAACAAATGGTAAAAGATTAATTTTGTTTAGGATTTAGGGCTGAGGGTTGAGGGTTTGGACACAAACAAGACGAGCAAGGGTGAAAATGTTAGAGATTTCACGAGACTCATATGCAGGGGTTAGGGTTTAGACAGAATTGGAAGCAGTTGCAGCTGCTTAGACCTCCTTGCTATTTATGTTTTATCTGACAGGCTCTTATAGTAGTCCTGAGAGGAAAGTTGGAAGCAGGGCAAGCTGAAAGTCAATCCTCCACGATGCTGGAGTAATCAATGCTGATCAGGGCTCCTTCGGCCAGACGGAAGGAGGCGTGAGGGTGTTCTATGATGTAATTATTCTTTTGACTTGCCGGTGGAATAGGAACCGGACTGATGCTCCCCAGAATGGAAATGGAGCCAGGGCCATAAGGACCTGTTTAATAAAAAAAAAAAAAAAAAAAAAAAATGGGTCCTGGGCCTCACGGCCCGATGTAACCTCTCTCTCTCTCTGTGAAAGAAGAAGAAGAAGAAGAAGAAGAAGAAGGAGAGGAAAGGAGGAAGAAGGAGAGATGGAGGGCGAGAGCAAGAAGAAGAAGAAGAGGTCGTCCTCCTCGCTATCTCACCTGCAGGTAACTGTCGCCACGTCTCTTAGTGCTGCAGGGCGCTGGCGAGAAGACCAGCTATGGCGCCCAGGTAAGATCTCCGCCGACGTAGGTATGGCCTCCGCCTCACTCCCTACCTACACCTCTACCTCTAGCGTAGCGTTGTCGTGCTGCTCCAACAGTGTGTCGCCCAAGAAGTGAGCTACTCGAACTGTGTGTCTGCCCAGGTGTGGCCCAGCCATAAGTAGCGCTGGGACGTCCAGGCCCTCCCTGCTGATGCAGCAGGGAGTGTCTGTATCTGGACAACAACGGACCTGGCCCGAAAAGGGCTTGCCTGGGACCGTACAAGGCCCAAAATGTGGCCTTTGTCCGAACATACCAAAAATCTGTTGGGACGAACTGCAAGTCCGGAACGACGCCTGAACAGACAAAAATAGGACAGCATGCTGCCTTAAATTGAATCCTACTGCCCTAATGTCGGCCGCGGGCCTCCAGGGCGCATGTTCGAAGGGCGTGCAGCCTGGGGTTGTTGGGCCCCTGAAATGGGGCCCGTGTGCAGGCTCAGCATGTAACAGCCCCCCTCCTTGTGAAGTCAAGCTGGGTCGATGGCGAAGCTGATGATCCGATGGTGGAACCTGGACGCAAGTACGGCTTGGAGCCAAAGGTGTCGGTTCCCTTGTTGTTTGCGTTCGTAACGTGCGAGGACATCGAGGGCTGTGGCCTGAAGTTCCGCATGGGTCAACCAACGGTCAACCTTACGGCTATAAGAAAAGTGTACTAAGTACTCCGTCGGCTTGGTGTCGTAGCGCCACTGCGAAATGATGTCACTAACCTCCTGAAAACTGTCCATGGAGGGTGGATCTTGCGATCATCGCCCGGGAAAGTCGTCGCGTTCCGCCAAAACAGAAAGAGCCAACTTTGAACAATGAAAGACCGGGTAGACGGGCCAGTCGGCGGGCACCTAAATGACAAATGATGGTCATTTGGGTGTGTCACTAGCGGGTGCCACAATGCGCCAAGGCCCCATCCATTTCGAAAGGAGCTTGCGAGAGAGATCCTGTTCGAAGTTGAATTCTGCGGCTCAGACCCAAACAAGGTCGTCGTCGTGAAATGGACACGGAAGATGCTGGCGATTGGCCTGATGGCTCATGCGTTGCTGTGTTTTTGACATTTTGGCACGTGCCTTGACCAAGAGCTCTTGCATGCATCGAATAAAAATAAGGTGCTCGTCGCTCTCGGTCGCCCGTGGGATGATAGCATCCAACGACGATGTGACTGACGAGCCATGCTCGAACTCAAAAGGCAACATCCCGATAGCCGGATGAATGGACGAGTTGTACGCCAACTCGATGCCCGGCAGCGGTTCAACCCAATCCTTTTGGTCGGGACGGATGAGAGTGCAAAAAAGAACCTATGCGGCTTGATGCGCCCTCTCCGTTTGGCCATCGGTTTGTGGGTGACGAGCCAAACTCGGCTTGAGAGAAGAGCCCCATTGTTTGATGAGCGCCAACCAAAAGTCAGACATGAACGGAGTGTGGCGGTCGCAAACGATCTCCTTGGGGTAACCCTTGGTTCGAATCCAACCGGCATAAAGAATCTTGGCCAACTCCGGTGCCTTGGCATGATATCGGCAAGGCAAAAACATTGCGAACTTGGTGGGTCGATCGACCACCGCCAGAATCCCATCCACACCGGTCTTGTGCTTGGGGAACAGCCCGGTGATGTCCATGGCAATCGATTCCCGTCATCCTAGGGGGACTGGTAGTGGTCACAACTCGCCGTACGGACGATGGTTGTGGGATTTGCAACACCGGCAAACCTCGCATGACTCACAATAGCGTGTGACATCGCCAAGAAGGCCGGGCCACCAAAAGCGCTTGCGACGTCGGCCAATCGTATGATTGAATCCAAAGTGTTCGGTGGCGGGAGCGTCGTGGAACTCACCAAGAAGCCGCGTACGCAAGTGTGGGTCACTTGGCATGCAATGACGATCCTTCCCCCACGAGTGGACACGCAAATAGCCCTCTTGGATCCGATAATGTGATGGCGCCGGATTTGGAGAGGAGCAATTTGCGTACTTCTCCCGGGTAGCAAGTGGGCCTTTTGTTGCAACAGCTTAATATGAGCAGAATTACTATCATCACTCCACCTTATTAACTCTTTAATATTATCTGCTAAACATTGCCCAAGTTGATGGACTTTACTAACTGCCACCCCCCCCCCCCCCCCCCCTCTCTCTCTCTCTCTCTCTCTCTCTCTCTCTCTCTCTCTCTCTCTCTCTCTCTCTCTCTCTCTCTCTCTCTCTTCCCCCGTGTGTGCGTGTGTGTGTAATATGTGTTTTTTAAGCAACCCCAGATTCTCTCTCATTGCCTCCAGTAATCATTGTAAACCATCCATAAAACAAAAGCAGTAGAGATAGGCAACGTAGTAAAAAGGTTGGCCACGATTGTGTGGTTCTCTGCCCACACACCCGTCTGCCGCCGAAGCGGCACACTTGCACATATACATATGTATACATGAATATTTCATAGTCGATAAAGGGATGGAGGGCAAAAGGCAACTAACCTAAGACGGAAGACTCCTCCAGCAAAAAGGCACCAGCCCAACCCTCCAAAGGCCGAAAAAAAATTGGAGAGCCTTCTGCATCGGTCCACAAAACCACGAACTCGATTACACAAACACAACATAAGCACGACAGCACTGGCACTACTTTCATCCCAAACTGCCCATTCATATCACTACCAAAGGGGTGGAAGGTAAACAACAACTTACCTAGGACAGAAGACTCTTCCAGCAAGAAAGCCCCGACCCGACCCACCGAAAGTCCGAAAAACTTGGAGAGCCTTTCGCGCCGGCCCCCAAAACATACCCCCCCCCCCCCAAAAAAAAAAAAAAAAAGCTCGTGGCCACCCGTAGATATCCAAACAGCCCATGCTCTTAAGCCACCAGTACCTTTGCCCGCTTGAGGTCTTAAGACACGCCGGGTAACGCGGTAGCCAAGCGGGGGAGGCCTGCCATTGATATATCGAATCAACGGCCTGTTTTTCGTTTCGGGCCTTCAACACTGCCCGCTGCCGACATATGGGAAAGGTACTGGTGGTTTAAGCTTGGCAAATAATTAGGCCGTGTATAATAAACAAAACCAACAAAACATATACAACCACAGACTCTGAGTGGCTTGCTCGTACGAGCCCGATCCTAGCTGGTTGAATCTGCCAAGACAGAGAGCTAGCAAGACCGGAAGGTGTGTGTATGTGTGTGTGCGCCAACTTTTTCATTTGTTTACAGGAACTCCATCAATGAAGCCAGCCCCAAGACAGTGTGTGTGAGTGTGTAATGAAGCCACCCCGAAACATGGTGTATTTATGTGTCTGTGCGTGCATTTTTCTTTTTCATACTAAGTACTGTCTCATGCTGTGCAATGTGAAACTTGTCTGCTTGGCATTTTGTCTCTGTTCAGTCTGGAACAGGGATGTGCAAAAACCTTCTCCAGGAAACATCGCAGAGGGCAGGCGTGGCGCTTCCGGTTTATCATGCCATGCGGATGGGTCCGGATCATCAGCCTGTGTACAGTGCAAGTGTGGAGGTTGCTGGCATGAGATTTTATGGTCAATGTGCAAAGACAAAGAAACAGGCAGAGAAGAACGCTGCTGCGTCAGCATGGGCCACTCTCCAGCAGAGTAAGATCTGACAACCATCTATGCGTCCTACACTCCACTTTTCCTACTCAGTGGGATCATCGTGGTAGCAATAGCGTAGTACTGTTTGAGATGTCTGATTGTGTTTCCCTGACCTTGTTCTTGGCCCTTTTTGTGCACCTGGGAACACAGTGCTGGTATTAATTGGGATGTTCAGATGTAAGCCTTTGTGTTCCAGTGTTGTTTGTGTCATTATCATCTCAGTGGGGTTACCATGCAAGTGATGGTGGTGTTCGGTAGCTCACTAAGCTGCACAGTGCTCAGACTCAGAAATCTTTTTTTTTTAAGGGAAGTATGTTCATGTCACCTTTGAGTATGGAATGGGCAAAAAAAACACGCGTCGGCAAAGAAAACCGCACCGAGTTTGAAAAGGCGACGGAAGTACCGACGGCCGTGGTGCCAGACCGGGTGTCATATGTAAGGGGGCAGCCCTGGTGTGAGACCGGGTGTCATATTTACAGGGGGTGGCTGTGGTGTCAGAGGGGCAAACAAAAAAGAAGAAGAAAATGCCCAACAGATACTTTTGGACCGAAATTGCTCATTTCAACTTGGCGCGTGGTTTCTTTGCCAGCACAAGTTTTTTTTGCCTTTAGGGTTTCAAAACATACCGTGGCCGCCGTTATTTCTTTTCTTTGGGGGGGGAGCAAGTATGTTGATGTCACCTACGAGTATGAAATGAGCAAAACTGACAAAGAAAACAGGCGCCAAGTTAGAAAAAGCAATGAAAGTACCAACGGCCATGGTGGCAGGCCGGGTGTCATAACTACAGGGGTCGGTCGTGGTGTCAGATGGGGAAAGGCAGTAAAAAAAAAAAAAAAAGCCTAACGGATTGCTTTCTACCCAAATTGCTGTTTCAAACTCACGCCTTGATATCTTTGTGGGCGCACGTCTTTCTTGCCTTTGCGAACTCAAAACCTGCCGCGTCCGCCGTTGTTTCTTTTTTTGTTTTAACAGAATTGTGATATTCATAAAACTGGAAAACAGGGGCAGAGTCCCTTACATCCATGACACGCACAACGTCGCCCTTCGTTACAAGTACTGGCCTAAAGGCCCAGGCTCAAAACTGTGTGACCTGGGTCCCGACCAGACGGTGCTCCCCACCTAGGCCTGCCTACAAACGGACAACCGGTCCTGATCTGGACAAAGTCTCTCAGGGCCTCATCGGCCAAAATGTGTGAACTGGACCTGCCACTGGTCTGAAAAGGTGTTGTGCCTGTTCGGATCTGGGAAGTCGTAAAGGACACTAGCCCTTCGTTTTTTTAAGAAAACATCCATCCTTATTATATGTGCTGGAAACCGGGTCCAGCATCCCTTACATTGGTGACTCACCCGAGCTCCATTATGGCTGAAGGACCCTGAGACGGCGGTATTGATTGCTTCCCTCTGGGAAAGGATTTACCACCGCTCTACCCCTGTCGGGAAATCCACTAAGTCGCTCATTTGAGCCTTCCACGCTGCCTGATAGAAGCTTTCTGATATTGAGCTGAATAATCTCCACTCTACTACCGTCTTCACCTGAATATAATGCCCGGTCATTATAGCTGTATTTGGCACAACTTTCAGCCCAGATACGGTGATAATTACCGGGCGTTCTATTGGGGTGAAGACGGTAGTTGAGCCGAAGGTATTTGAGTGCTCGCCTTCGGGAAGGATTAACCATTGTTTCCTCCCGATGTCTTCTGCGTCTTAGCGAGTTTATGGGCTACCTGAACTGGGATGTGTCTAAGGAGTGTGTGTTATATCTGTCTTGCTGCCTTCTCTGACACTTTACCATGAAATTCAGTCCCCTGCCTTTGATTCACCCAGCTCATCCCTTCCTCAGCCATGCTTTCCTTTACATCTTCGCGATTTCTTATCAGTCGTTTCCCCTTGACAGAATCTGCTAATCACCTGTTTGATCATTGTCTTGATAGCCTGGTCTTTTTATCAGATGCTCCCTGCAAGATCTGCCCGATAATTGTCCTGTGTGGGTCCGATGGTTTCTAATGCAGTCTGTGATCCTGCACTGTTGCTACCTTTCCGTCCAGTAACCATTCTCTGAAGAAAGCCTTCTTTTTGACGCCTGTTCTAATCGAGTCAGGGCAGCCAGGGTGAAACTGTTTTCGCCTTTGCAGATGCAGATCCCAGGGCTCGACCCCTAGACCTTACCTGCACCCGTGTACAGTATCGAGTTGACTCCTGTGTGTTTAAACCCGTGACCTGTGTTTAGTAATTGACTTTTGTCTGTCGTAGGTCCATGTAGCTGTAGGGGTTCGATCTGTAGGTCTGTAGAGTAGGGGTCACAGCTATGTAAGAGGTCGCAGCTGCTACAGTCATGAAAGGTCAAGGTCGTAGCTGCTACAGTCCCGAAAGGCCAAGTCCACAGACTTCCGGAAGGTCCGGAAGTGGCCTTTCGAGTGTTTGCTCACGTTATGCCAGAGGCAAGTGGGCAAGTGGGGAGTCCAACGGTGTAAAGTCAGCAGTATCCAGTCCCAGTCCCACTTTGTCCAGTCAGCAGGTACCATGTGGGACTGTGTGCACCAAGGGCCCGGTGGAAAGGAGCAGACCAGCGACGAACAGAAGTATAAATCAAGAGGCAGCGTCCAACCATTCACTCATTCTGTTGCGATCCATGCGGAAGCGTGGCCAGAGCGCCTTGTGTGAGGTGGTCCGCAGATTGCCCGAAGTCGAAGTGGGCTGAGAGGAAGATAGAGCGGCCTTAGCTGCTAGTAGAGGTAGAGGTAGCAGGCAGCCATAGCTGCGCTAGCATGTGTGTGTAAGCGTGTGCAGTAAGAGTGTGTGTGCGTGGGATATCCAGGGAGATCCAGTGTGAAGTGTGTGTGTGCAGACGCTGTGGATACAGACTTGGGAAGTACAGGTTTGGGCGCTTAGCCGCCATAGTCAACCTGAAGCGAGTTTGTATCTAAACTGTGTTCACGACTTGAATATCTCGGAGCTTTGTGTGGGCGCCTGGCGCCAGTGTACCTTGTCATCTCTTTGCATGCATGCAAAGTGAGATAGAAAGCGAGTCTGATTGCACAGGGCCTGTGTTTTGGTACTCTCCCACTTGCATCTGATTTCTGTCTCCACCATTTTTACGAGCTCCCTAGCGATCAATATGGCACCGCATACACGTACGGCCGTACGAATCCGTACGTGGACGCTACTCGTACAGGAGGGGGCCCGTACTTTTTTTTTTTTTGGTCGGGGTTGGTTAGTGTCCACGCACCCTGTATACCTGAAATCAGCCGAAAAAACGAAGTTCCAAGGCTGATTTCATGTATACACGGTGTGTGGCTTAGAACACCCCTGCGCACCATTTTTTATCAGCTATATTCAATCTATTTATCAATTGATTATAGCCCCTGGATAATTAAATGCAATGAATATGAGCGAGAGCGATAGAAATAAAACTCAGTTGCAAAATCACGCAGAAGTCCAGATAGTCATGTACCAAACAGAGAGCACATATGCACCAAGATTCCATCGACATAAGAGCGATACAGTGAACTCATGAGCCAATGTCCAGGCCCTCAGGCCACACCAACGCAGTATCCAATGTCGCTCCTACTGTATGGCACCCAGCGCCCAGCCAACTCTACTCAGCCTACCTATCCTATCTACATTCATGCAACAGGATCACCTCGCCATCGAAGACTAATGTACATGACGTCAACACCAATGCCGACCGCCCACATACATCAGGTACGGTCTCTCTGCTGCCCCCATCAGACCTTGACCACCCACTCCTGTGCCTCGTTCCCTGAAAACCACCGTCACCCATCACCTGCCCACGCCCCTGCAGCCCGGCTATAAAAGCGAAGTGTCCCGCTGCCCTGCAGCGCCCCTCTTCACCTCATAGCGCCCGGATGCGCCCCAGCCAGCAGTGCTAACGCAGACACTTGCGCTGAAGTTGCACAGCGTCGTAGCAGTGTGTCCGCATTGCCTGCCGAGGCAAGAATGGCTTCCTCTGGCCGGCCTCCTCCCTATATGGGAGCAGCTGCCCTGCTGGGCTGCCTGGGCCTGGCCGAGGAAGTTTCCAGTAGCTTCCGGTCAGGCCCCAGTGTCTGCGCCCAGGCCCATTCCTACAGTTAAGGGCCTGGGTCCTCTTCGGTTGGGCACCTTCAGGATGCCTCCAGGCTCCCAGTGTTTGTCGTGGTTGCATTGGCCCGCGGGGTAGGTATGACGACAATGCTGCATTCTCATTGACCCTCGGCCACTTCGTGATGTGTTGGCCTCACACTACGTGTGCCCAGGGGTCAACTACCTGCGTCCTGGGCTCAACTGCTTGACACAGCTGCTGCTTCTGGAAAGAGCCCAGGGAGAGGCCCAGGTTGCACTTCAACCTACTGGCGTGCTGCAACTGTCTGATACCCACATTGGAAAATGCTGAGATAAGGGCCTCTCGTGGATATTCAGGCCCGTTTTCACTTAGGGCGGGCACGAGGCTTGCTGGGGGCCACAGTCCAGAACACGTGCATGTTGGCTAGGGCCCCATGAGGACACATTCCTCACATTCCATCCCCCTTAGCTTTGAAAGTCCGCTGAGATGCTTCTTAAGCTGGTGCCTTCCCCTTCAACTTACGATCGTACGTCTATCGACAGAAAGGAGAGATTAGTAGGTACACAGTGTACACACATGATGAATATTCCCATAAATCGAGAAATTTATTAAGTGGAAGCCATCCCGATTCTTGATGTAAGTGTTACCCCACTTCAAATAACCCAGGAAACAACACAATATCGTGCCGAGTCTAAACAGGGCCTCCTCCAAGAGTCACTTCTTCTCGTCATCAGCCCGATGTATTTGCGTACTGATTTGTCTGAGCCATCTGATAACCTGACGTCTGATGATCTAACACCTGGCAGCATCGTTGGTGTCAGCAGGGTTTGCATTGTCTTCTGGTTTTGACGCAGGATGACCATCACCCTGCATGAGACGAGTGAATTTATTTGTATCCTGCTTGCCGAGTTCCCAAGCACCTTTGTCTTTTCTCTCCCGT